GGGCAACAGATACTCACCTATCGCTTCTACCATATTAATTTATACTTTTCAGATTTCATATTTCCTAGCTGGCTTATTTTTATCTTCATTCCTATATTTTGTTGCCTTGAACAAAACTGTAAATGTTACTTTTATCTTGGAGTTGTTTCCTTCAACTTAAAAAATAAAGTCTATTTAAACCAAATGTCTGTGCCAATAATTAAATTGTATTAAATATTTTATTTAGGAATTGTTCATCTAGATCAGTGATTTTTAACTGGTGCGTTGCAAGAATCTTAAAAACATGTGCTACCTGACTATTCAGACAAGGGGCACTGACTTCTTTCTTTTCCCTTAGACTGTCAATTTTTTTTAATAACAAAAAAGTAACAACAGCCAACACAATAGCCACCTGGTGTGAATGAATCAAAATTATACCTGTATTTTTGTCACAGCAGTAAAGAATATAGTATGGTTTTTGGTGTGCCACAGAATTTTAGTAATTTGTTTATGTGTGCCATGAGATGGGAAAAGATGAAAATTGCTGAACTATATGCATAGTTAACCATAGTTTAATTTTGTATGCTAACTTTATTAGGTTATGCTGATTTCTGTGGTCAATTAGCTTATAATAAACTGTGGTAGCTATTGATTTGATCAGCTCATCAAAGTTTTCCATCCTTCTTTTTTTAAATATATTTTATTGATTATGCTACTACAGATGTCCCATTTCCCCCCTTTATTCCCCTCTGCCCTGCACACCCCCTCCCATCCACATTCCCCCCCACCTTGAGTTCATGTTCATGTCTATGGGTAGTACATATAAGTTCTTTGGCTTCTACATTTCCTATACCTCTGCACACATCTCTGCAATTTGACTTTGCAGCTTCTCCCATCCAGGGGTGGAGTCTATGTCTCCACCCCTGAGTCTGGTCTTGGCCATAACCAGTGACACACAAATAACGGCTTAAAAGACACCTGGACTTCGGGGATTTCACTCTCTTGCTGTACATGGAACCCTGAGACCAATATATTGATGAGCCTCAGTTAGCCTCCTGGAGGAAAAGAAACCATAAGGAGAACTGAAGTGCCAGCAGCCTGCCAAATGTCAGTCATGTAGGGAGGCTGTTCTACAAGACTAGGATACTGTGGGTAATAATAAGAAAGAGATATTTGGTCTTCATCCCATTTCTGGCACAGAGCTCCTAAAACCCTTGGGATCTCCTGTGGGGAGAGTGATAAAGGTATCTCTGGCCTTTATGGTATCTTTGGTATCTTTGGTTATGTGAATGAGGTGACTTTTAGAAAATACACTTGGGACTTCCACCAAGATGGAGGCGTAGGTGGAAGCACTGTGCCTTCTAGCACAACTAGGTTTAAAAACAACAAAGTTTTAGCAACAAAAACACAGCCAAACCACAGAAAATTGAACTACACGGAAGTCTGACAACAATGAACCCTTCAGCCAAACTGAGAAGAGGGGCAGAGCCAGTAGCAGAGCGGGGTCGGGCAGGAAAAATCCACCTGACCAACCCAGGTGTGCGAGCCAGGTGCACCAGCAGCTGTGGGCGGATCCCAGGTGTGGAGAAGCGGGCAGACCCACAGAGGGCACAAGGAGGTGGACTCACTGAGGGCTGATCACAGTCACACATTAGCACGCAGATAAACCTGTGAAGGAGCTAGCAGTGTGACGGACCACACAGGCCCCAGCAGCAGAAAGCGGAAGAGGGGACTGTCATTGTCCCTTTCTGACCCTGCCCCCACATACAGCATCACAAACCAGCACGACCTGGGTGGCTCCACCCTAGTGAACACCTAAGGCTCCGCCCTCACACATAACAGGCTTGAACAGAGCAAAATATTATGACTCAAGAAGAACTCAAAGCCCCAGAGCCCATAACTCTAAGCGACCAAGAAATAGCCAAACTTTCAGATGCACAGTTCAAAACACTGGTGATCAGGATGCTCACAGAACTGGTTGATTTTACTCACAAATTAGAGGAACATATGGAAGCTAAACTAATTGAAATGAATGGAAATACACAGGAAACCAATAGTAACGGAAAGGAAACTGGGACTCAAATCAAAGGAGTGGACCAGAAAGAGGAAAAAAATGACCAAACAGAAAAGGGTGAAGAAACGAGAATTCAAAAAAATGAGGAGAGGATTAGGAACCTCCAGGACATCTTTAAACATTCCAACATTAGAATTATAGGGGTACCAGAAGGGGAAGAGGAACGGCCACGAGTGGAAAACTTATTTGAACAAATAATAAAGAAGAACTTCCTCAATCTGGCAAAGGAAATAGACTTCCAGGAAATCCAGGAAGCTCAGAGAGTCCCAAAGAAGTTGGACCCAAGAAGGAACACACCAAGGCACATCATAATTACATTAGCCAAGATTAAAATGAAGGAGAGAATCTTAGAAGCAGCAAGAGATAAGGGGACAGTCACCTACAAAGGAGTTCCCATAAGACTATCAGTGGATTTCACAAAAGACACCTTACAGGCAAGAAGGGGCTGGAAAGAAGTATTCCAAGTCATGAAATCCAAAGACCTACATCCAAGATTGCTCTATCCAGCAAAGCTTTCATTTAGAATGGAAGGACAGATAAAGTGCCTCTCAGATAATATCAAATTCAAGAAGTTCATCATCACCAAGCCCTTATTATATGAAATGTTAAAGGGACTTACCTAAGAAAAAGAAGATAAAAAAGATGAACAGTGAAAGGAGAGCAAACTCACAGTTATTAACAACCACACCTAAAACAAGAGGACAGCTAGATCAGGAGCAGAACCATGGAAATGAAGATCACATGGAGGATTAGCAACAGGGGAGTGGGAGGAGGAGAAGGGGGGAGAAGGTACAGAAAATAAGTAGCATAGATGGTAGGTAGAAAATAGATAGGGGAGAGGGCAAGATTAGTATGGGAAATATAGAATCTAAAGAACTCGGGACACATGGTCATAAACTAAAGGGGGGAATGGTGGGGGAGTGGGTGTGTAGGGTGGAGGGGAATGAAGGGGGAAATAGAATAACTGTAATGGCATAATCAATAAAATATATTTTTAAAAAACTAAAAAAAAAATTTAGAGAGCCAGGCATTGTGGATAATAGCTCTTAGGCACCTGCTCAAATAAATGAGCTTTTAGAACACACACACAAAAAAAAAAGAAAGAAAGAAAGGAAATACACTTGGATGAGGCTGGTTGTCAGAGGAACCAACCATGTGATTACAGGGTTGGAAGTTTCAGTCCCAGCCCTGCCTTCTGAGGAAGGGAAAGGGCCTAAAGATTGAGTTCAATCACCAACAATCATTTAAATTGCGCTGATGTGATAAAAACCCAAGAGGAAAGGGTTTGGAGAACTTCTGGGTTGGTGAACACCCAGAAGTTGGGTTGGTGGAGGTGTGGAGACGACAGTGCCTGGAGAGAACATGGAGCTCTGTGCCCCTTCTCACAGACCTTGCCTTAGACATCTCTCCCATCTGGCTGTGCCAAGTCATGTTCTTTCCTAATAAACTGGTAACCTCATGAATGAGTGGGTTTTCTGAGTTCTGTGGGCTGCTCTAGAAAATTAATTAAACCCAAGGATAAGGTCATGGGAACCTCTGATTTATAGACAGTCTGTCAGAAGTTCAGGTGACACCCTCAACTTGGAATTGATATCTTGAGTTGGAGGGTGTGGCTGGGACCTTTAATTTATAGCTGGCCAATCAAAAGCACAGGTAACAATCTGGCTTTCAATAGGCATCTGACAGGGTGGAGAGACTGATCCCTTAACCTGTGATATCTGATGTTACCTGCAAGGTAGACAGCATCAAAATTGAACTGAATTATAGGACTGCCCAATGCTGTCCAAGAACTGCTTGGTGCCATGAGGACACCCTCCCTCCTCCACTAAATTCTCAGCACCAGCCAAGTCACTAGCTGACCAAGACACATGGTGGAGCCCAGCAGAGATCAGCCAAAGAGGCCCAGGTCAGAAGAATCACCCAAGCACCACAGAGAACCATGAGAAGTAATAAATGATTGCTCCTTTAAGCTAGTAAATGTTGGGATGGTTTGTTACACAACAATGCCACCTGATATGACAGTGAGAAAGCACCTTGCTAGTGTTAGAGCCTTGGTTCCAGTGTCTGAGGCCCTTGTCCCTGAAGCTCATATTCAATCCCTTATGTCCTTTCCACAAGCCAATCTCTTTCTTTTGCTAATCTGACTCATATTTCTCTCACTTGCAATTTAAAAAATCATCAGGCTTTACTTTTTCTCTATAATCCAATACTGTTTAAAACAAACAAAAACCCTTCATTCCTCTAAAACTCAAAAAATTTTCCCCATGAAGCTTATTCAACTGGGGCTTTGGGAGAAGAAATATTTCTTGGGCAATGTTCTCATTTTTCTCGGTTATTCCCCTATTCTGATTTTCAATTTCTTCTTTAGAGAAAATTGGCAATTTAACAATTCCTAGGAAATCATTGATTTCTATCAGATTTTCAAACACAGTAGCATTTATCTACATATTCTTTTTAATATATAAATGTAACATATTCTTCCTAAATTTCCTTTTATCTTCCCCTCTATTAAATCTTCAACATTTAACATATAATTTATCATTTTTAAATACTCTTCATTAAGTACAACTTGATTGAGAAATGCACAGGGCACACACTCAGCATGAGCGCCTATTACCGCCAATGGACCTGACTCAGTGATGGAACCAGGAGGGCACAGGGTGTTCGTTAACAGTGGATTTTACTCAGTGCTTCAATTGTAAATGACAAGAAATTACTTCTAAGACCACAAGATTTTGAAGAAAGTATTTTCGGACACCCTGCTAAAGAATCCTTTTGTACCGTCTTGTACAGAGACCCCATTCCACAAATATTTCTCTCTCTCTCGCTATATATATATACACACATATATAACTCCTCATATATATATATATACCCTCATATATACATACATATATATATACGTATATATTTTAATCCTCACCTGAGACTGTTTATTGATTTTTAGAGAGAAGAAAAAAACACCAATGTGAGAGAGAAACATCAATTGGTTGCCTGCTGTACATCCTGACTAAGGATTGAACCTGCAACCCAGGTATATGCCTTGACTGTCAATCAAACCCACAACCCAGCCAGGGCAATAAATACTGTTATTAGCTATTATTCTTTGGAAGGTCAGAGGGTAACCCCTAGCCCTGCTGGAAGCTAGTAGAGACTCCTCCAGGTATTAATAATAATTTATAACCATTTATTGAGTGACTTCTTTGTACCACCCACTATTCTCAATGTAGCTCAATCAGTTTCTCATGGAATACTCACCAAAGAAAGTATGATTTAGGTATTATTTCTCCCACTTTCAATATGAACTCAGTGTCACAAAACTAATTATTTTCCCAAGATTACTGGAACAGTAAATGGCAATGCTGGAATCTGATGGCAGATGTCTCTAGTCCCAAAGTCCAGGTTCTTGTCTTAGCATTGCTCCACAGAATTTGAGGTTTGGGGTAAGTGATTACCTTGTACAAGCATTCTAGGTAGGGTAAGTAGAGAATTACCAGCACATTCGTTTTTAGGGAGATATGTGAAGCAACTGAAATGCACTTAGCTACTTGTATCAAGGGTTTACTGTGTGACAGACAGTGCGCTAAGCACTTTCATGGAATGGGTTTTTAATCCTTTTTCTGTTGACTCTTTTATTTTTTAACCCTTTTTCAATTTAAGAATTAGAAAATTATTACAACAGACTTATGTGATTGGTACTAACAGTCCAATTTATAGATAAGGAAGCTGAGCCACAGAGAGGAAAGTGGTGTGCCCAAGGCCCCCTAGTGAACTGGCAGTCAGCCCTGGACCTGAGTCTGACTCCAGAGTAGTCCATACTCTTCAACCCACCATTGTCTTTGAGCATGATTAATAAATTGCCTAATTTCCCATTTGTAGCTGGAAGAGGCTAGGTCAGTCAGGGACCTGGGGCAGGAGATAAATGAGGCGTGCTCTCTTGATGAGGCCATCTGTGGCCTTCTGAATGACACGGAGACCCGTGGGTCCTTTATGAAGTCCAGTGTTATAGTCTCCTGAGATCCTGCTGTCAGTGGCCTTTTAAGTCAACAAGATCTGCAGCAGACTTACTGGAGATTCTTCCCCTTCCATGAAGAGCAAAGTCTGTTTCTCTACCACCTGAGTTGGGCCAAGAGACTACTTTGTCCAGTAGGACATCATCAAACACGATACACAGGCTGAAAAAGCACAAATGCATTGGGACAAGCTTTCTTGCTCTTCTTGGAACACTGAAACCACTATGTGAACAAACCAGAGCTAGCCAGCTGGCTGGTAAAGGCCATATGGAGAGGCAAGGCTCCCAGGCCAACCACATGCTCACTGCCAGTCATGTGAGTAGGGCCATCCTAGATCATCCCGTCAGATAGCCAAAGACACAGATGAGTACACTTTAAATTTTGTGCCCAGGTTAAGTAACTCATTTGATTCACCCTAGCCCCAGCTCTCAGAGACAGTTCCTCTCTTTCTTGTTCTGAGAAGCTCTTGGGAGGCTGTATATGTGTTCAGCATTGTAAGTGATGGGTAACTATAATGGCTATACATAATGCTTGAAATGGTCCAATACAGAAGAATTGAGAGTTCCCAACCAGGAGCATCACCAAGAACCAGAAGGATACCTGCAGGTAACCAAAAGTATCAGCCAGAAATTCTGCCATTGGAGGTCATCCCATGGTGGGTGCCCATATATATCTATTCCCACTGGCACTGAATAACTGGGTCAGTAGTTGGGTTTGTGGGGAGAATGCCCAGTTTATAAAGTTTCTGGAGTGGACTAACAACCTATAGAAGACAGAGTTCTAATATCCAGCACATTTTCCAGTTCAGGCTGGGCATGGACTAGCAGAAGGTAGAGGACAGAGCTGAGCACATTCCTTTTTCACAGATGGAGGCTGCTTGGCTACTTTATGAGCCTGCCCATAGCTCCTCCAAGGCCACACAGGAGGAGGGCACTCTCCAAACCTGCATGAGCCTCAGAGGTAGCCAAAAAAGAGCCCGGCCAGGTTGGCGAGCAGGTGTGGACAGATCTTCTCAATCATGCCTCTGACCATGGGCAGATGAACTGAGAAACCAATTCAGTTGCCTGGACTAATTCATCATCCTTGGTGCCAACAAACCTTCTGGAACTGTGTCCAGAGACAGGATCATCCCAGGTAGGCTGCCAAATCCCATGCATGCTAGCTGCAGGGGGTGCTTCCTGCTCTCCTCATGCCCAAGGCAAAGGATGGCTGCACAGCTCTATTCATACAAAAAGGGGTCTCCTACCACTTACAGAGCCTACGACTGCTGGGAAGGCCAGCCAGGTGGCAGGCAGAGACCCTGCTCATTCTTCGGACTTATTGTACAGACATCTGTCCCTACTGCCTGTTCAATATGTAGTCATTGTTATTCATTGTCATTATCATCATCTTCACATATACAGCTCCTGCTAGGTACCAGACACTGTCCTGGGTACTTTTATAGATATTTGTACATTGGATACTCATAACAATGTTATGAGGGAGGGGCTGTTATTTTATACATTTTCAGCTGAGTAATCTAAGGTGTAAAGAGATTCAAATAATTTGCCAAAGGTCACACATATTTGAGAATGCCGGCTCCAAGGTCTGTAATTTAATATTTTTCCCTAGTTTCCTTCTTAGTGACCACTTCTCCCTCACTCTCAAATTATGGGGCAAGGTACACGGGTCTTCCTTTGCAGGAGCAGATAAAGGGCCAGGTCTGGCCAATCGTATAACTATCCTTCGGGCTACATGTGACCCAGGGTCTGATGAGACATTAGCTCTTCTCACTGGAGCTGCAGCTGTGATACTACATAAGACTAATGCTGCTGCGGCCATCATGCTCCATGGCAGAAACGTCTTCCTGAAACTGAAACCAAGACTAAGCCGAGACATGGACAAAGATTCCTGAGGACCTCACTTCTGCACCCTGATTTGGAGATCAGATGCTTTTCAGTTTCAGGGGCCAGTTAAAGCTGAGTTTTTCTCTTAGGCACTAGAAAAAGTCAACAAATATAGGGTGAGGCCAAGTAGGTTTACAATTGCTCATATGGAAAATCATACAATAATTAATAAATAATAATATAAGAGTAAACTGTTCCATGTACTCACAACAGTAAACCTACTTTTGCTCACCCTGTACAGACAGGGTGTGGGAAACGCCTTCCTCTTGGCTGCTCCTGAGGATCCAGCCTCCGTCTGCAAGGACGTACAGAGGCAGAGCCAAGCTGTCCCCCAAACTTCCCCACCTGTTTTCCTAGGGATGAGAGGAGGAATTGCACTAAAAGAGCCAGGGGAGTGTGACCTGGGGAGACATGATAAACAGTCCTGTCTTCACCTCTACAGACAGGCCAGTAAGGACTCTGCTGGTTCTGTGTTGCCTGGAGTGCTTAACCCCAAGTACCAGTTTCCAAGCACAGTAACTGTGGCATGAGCTCTAGGGTGTTTGTGTTGCTGTGACAACAGATATGCCCCTGACTTGCAGGGACATGGAAAATGACCATTTGTAAAAGGTCAGCAAGAGTCAAACTAATTCAATGACACAAGGTAGTCACCACTCTGAGGGCATCTGTCAAGTCTAAGTGGGTAAGAACGGGGTCAATAATACTAGACAAAATCCATGTGGAACATTCCAGGAAAATGAACCCAAACAGGAACAAAGTATGAACTAGGGTGACAGCTGCACATAGGGTCCCTGAACATGGCTCATTACTGGGCAGTGGAAGAGGGTACATGGTGGAAAGTCCTCTTAGGAAAGTTTCAGCTGCATAGAAAAGAATACCCCACATAGCGACCCCTGCCTAAGCCCTCTTACCCAGCTTCTCATCTCACACACTTCGGCACAAGAGAAATCAAAATAGTCTAAGCAGCTTATCGGTGTCAACAGTGACTCAGGGTCTGTCAATTCCTCCACTCTGCCACACTCAGCATGTCTCCCTCACTGGCCCAAAAGGGCTATTAGAAGCACAAGCAGGATGAAGAAAGAGATGTACTATTAGAAAGGAAAGCCTTTCCTAGGAGCCGTACCCAGGCTTCTGCTCACATCCCACTGAGCAGAACTGGATCACATGCTCACTCACAGGCTACAAAGGAGAGTAGGAAAGCAAGTTACCAGGCATTTTCATCTTCTAGCTGAAAGAGAGCCTCTGCCAGAAAGAACAGACTGAGGGCCAGGACTGGCTGCTGTGTAGATGATCAACAATGTTCCCCAAACTTCAGACAAAGTCATCCCAAGAGTTTTGCCATAACCTTATAGTATCCATACCAGCATTTGCATAACAGTTTCCTTAAATATATTTTTTTTGGTTTACCTTAAATCCCTAAATACCTTCACTTAGGTAAGAAGTTTTATATCCTTACTATAAATGCAAAACCACTACTAGACACACTTTTCCAATCCATGTTAAAATTAATTCATAATGACTGAAATGAAAATTACTTGTCTGTTTTACCTGGAAGGATCCCTTGTCCCACCCACAGTAGTCAGACCAGGAGATGTACAGTAACAGAACAAACTAATTTCCTCCTAATTCTTGGGCCCTTGTATCAGGAATTTGCTACAGCCCTGGCTGGTGTGGCTCACTGGATTGAGTGCAGGCCTGCAAACCAAAGGATCACCAGTTCGATTCCCAGTCAGGGCACATGCCTAGGTTGCAGACCAGGTCCCCAGTAGGGAGTGCTCAAGAGCACACATTGATGTTTCTCTCCTCTTTTTTCCCTCCCTTCCCTTCTCTCTAAAAATAAATAAATAAAAGTCATTCAAAAGAAAAAATATTCCCTAACAAAGAGCTATACAGTACATGCATGGTATGCACTTTATAGGGCATTCTAAAGAGTTGCTATTCTAACAACCTTTGCACAGTAGTGATAACAATTTAGCCCCTGATCATCACCCTCCATGTCTCAGCTGTCAAGATGAGAAGACATTTATGAAACTTATATAAGCTTATTATCCAATGTCATCCCAATAAATTTAACAAAAAATTTTTAAGACATTTAGCAAAATCATAGTAGGGGAACCAGCTGGTTTCCCATACAATCACAGTTCCCCCACCAAATGTTTTGTTTTTTGTTTTTTCCATTAAAATAAAAAATGTCTCAGAGACTACAAGGACCACCATATGCCTTGGAATGAGATCACCCCAACTTCTTCATCTCAAGGTCCTCACTCACATTTACCCAAAAGGATGCACTGATTGTGGACACAGAGAGGTGACCAGTGCCCATTACTTACATCAGAGGCTGGACCCTTGTCAGCGCCTGGGCAGGAGAAAGTAACAAATTCATGGCAACGCTTGTGCACAACAAAACAGCAGACTGCAAAAGATAAAATAAAGGTAGGAGGAAGGGAAGAAGGAAAGTGTAAGAGAGGAAGAGAGAAAAGGGGAGAAAGAGATGGTTAGAACCTGGACTTCACAACAAGTAAAGGCTGTGTATCAAAATAAACAATGCCTTCAGCTTCTACATGTGTCCTTAAATGAAGTCAACCTCATGGGTATACATTGTTATATCCTGCCAACTATTTAAGTTTTTGAAGTAACTAAGGTTCAAAAGATCACATATACTCAAAATTATACTCCCTTGAAGATCATTTAAGTTGCCCCATTTTGGAACAGAATGTTGTTTCTTAGACTGGGCACCAGGTAAAGTAGTTGGCTTGTGTTTAGGTTCATAATGCATAAGAAATATGTTTATTCAAACACTAGAATCACAGTTTGAAAGATGTAGCTAAAACTAAGGGCATGTAGAAACAGAATGAGCAGGAAAGACAGACCCATGCCCTCACCTTACGCAAGAGCAATGTCCAGTAAGTGGAAGAGTAAGCTGCAATTTTTACAATGTTACATTAGTAGTTTGAAACCAAATACATTCATACTTATACTGTATTTGAATTTGTTTCAGTTAAATGTATCTACATATGGCTATACAATTTGGGGATTGTTTCAGTTGGGTAAAGGGACAGTCAGAGAATGTATACCAAAAAGACTTATTTTTTTGATTCAAATCTTTTATTGTTTTGTTGTCCAAATCACCTTAAACAAACTCTACAGTATGAGTTCCTGGAGAATAGGTACCATGCAGCAGGAACAGCATCTTTCTTTTCTTTTCATTTTATTTTTCAATAAGAGTTTACATTCAATATTATTTTGTATTTATTTCAGGTGTACTGATGATGGCCAGACAAGAGGGAGACTGGGCAGGGCTAAGTGGAAATGGCGAAAACATTAAGAAGTACAAATTGGCAGTTACAAAACAGTCATGGCGATGTAAAGTACAGCATAGGAAGTATAGTGAACAATATTGTAACAACTATATGTGGTGCCAGATAGGTACTGGACTTCTTGGGGAAACACTTTGTAAAGTATATGGCTGTCTAACCACTATGCTGTACACCTGAAATAGCATCTTTCTAAAGGCCACAGTAAAAGAAAAAAGTACAGGAACCCTTAAAGGTACCCCTAGTGATATAATGCAATGGGTTTGGGCAGCAATCCTCAATGGCTGTGGACATCACAAAAAGATACTATCTGCCTACTGGTGGCAGCACCGTGAAGGACTCTACCACCCTATGTAGTACTCTTGCCAAAATAATTAAACCTGGACCAAGTCGAGCACCTTGACCCAACTTCCAATTTACAGAAAATGTAAATAACAGAGGCACGTATTAAATGATACAACGGTCAGGAGATGAGGAAAAAATGCACAAGAAAGTGGAAAACTACAAGATAACCAAATAGTTTCTTCAACAAATAAACTACAAGAGGATAGGAGAGACTTTTAGAAAATACATTTATAAAATGCACAACACAAAGACTGAATCCTTGACATAAACAATGGCTTTTAGTTAATAATAAGCCTCAATATTGACTGGCATGGGAATGGAGTTAAGAGAGTAATATTGGAACTCTTTACTTTCTAATCTAATTGTCTGCAAACCTAAAACTGCTCAAAAAAGAAAACAACAACAACCAAAAAAACAAAAATACTGTGGCTTCCAGTAAGATAGTAGTGTAGGTAAATGCAGTACTCACTTCCTCTCACAACCTCATCAAAATTACAACTAAACTACAGAACAATCATCATTCAGAACTGCCTAAAATCTAGCTGTACAGAAGTCCTACAATTAAGAATATGAAGAAGGTGTGGCTCAGCTGGTTGGAGCATCATCCCATACATTAAAAGGCTGCAGGTTCAATTCCCAGTCAGGGCACGAACCTAGGTTGTGAGTTCCATCCCTGTCAGGGTACATACAAAAATCAACACATCAATGTTTCTCTCTCACCTTAATGTTTCTCTCTCTCTCTCTCTGTCTCTTCTTCATCCCTTCCTTTCCCTCCCTCTAAAATCAACAGAAACATATCCTCAGGTGAGGACTACACAATCAATCAATCAATCAATAAATCAATAAATAAATAAACAAGCAAACAAACAAATCACATTAAGACGAGTGGGAAGGGTAGAGATTCCACATGGGCTAGTAGTCCTATACCCACCTGTGGTGGATAAAAATCGAGAGGGATACCTTGGCTGCTGCAGAGGTCCCCCTGAGAAGCAAGGGGTCCCAGCCCAACACCAGGCCCCCCAGCCCAGGGTTCCAGTGCAAGGAGGAAAAGTCCACATAAATTCTGGCTATAAAGACCAGTGGGGATTGTGGCTGAGTGAGACTGAGGCTTCTGCAGTCCCTGGCATTCATCTTAAAGAGCCCACACACAGACTTACTCAAACTCACTGGTTCTGAGCTCCAGTGCTGGGGCAGCAGCTCAAAAGACACCAGGGACAGACAGGAAGGAACTGAATTATCTGGCATCAGGGCAAAAGCTGCAGGGGCAGCTTCTCCCAGACAGAAGAGTTGGCAGAGGCCAACAATACTTTGATGGGCCCTCCCCCCACAAACTTCACATGCAGGCACCATATCCGAGACTCCAGCAACCTACCACTGCTCACCCAGCCCTGGTGATTCCCTGAGACCCTGCCCCACCCAACTTGTGGGCCCACCCAAGGTGTTTCCAGTGACTTTTACTGAGGATCTCAAGAGTTAAAGATTTGAGCCTTAGTTATAGTTGGTAGGCTTAAGTGATTGGTACATGTGGAAAGCTGTTTTTCCAGGAACTAGAATGTATAACCTATGTGACTCCAGGAGATGGACAAGCAACTCAACTTTTGTGCCCCAGGGAGTCTGCAAGCAATCAAGATGGCATCTGAGTCATTGGCTTCCAGGGAAGGAATGTCCAAGATGCAAATAAAGAATAGTTGATCAGCAGAAAAAGAAATACTAATATCACCCCTGGACTGTAACTCTTAGCCAATTAAGAGTTACAACCTTTTTTCCAAACCCCTTACCTATCCTTTTCTTCTCTATAGAAAAAGGTCAGCTTGAGATGGGATGTTAAGATGGTTTTTAGGGTACATAACTCACCATCTTCTCAGATCACTGGCATCTGAATAAAGTATCCATATAGATGCAATCCTTGTCTCTACTTATTGGTTGTTGTAGCGACTGGCAGCATGAATGCTGACTTCTCTGGTTTCAGCTATTCTACACAATGGCCTCTCTTGGTTCATGCTTTAGACTTACCTAAATTTCTCAAACAAGCAGCACCTGGCCTCAGTGTGCCCTGTACTTCTCGCTAAGTGGCCCCAGACCTGACACTAGCAGCAGATGATTTTGGTTCACAATTTGGCTTCTCCTGGCCACCTTCAAGCCCAGCACAAGTAGCAAACACCTGCAGGTTCCTTTGTACCTCTTGCCAGGTAGCCCTGGGGAGGAAGAGCAGGGGTAGCAGCTGACCTTGTACTATACCTCACAGGAGGTGCCAGAGCAAACACACCTAGTGGACAGCTTCAGACTATACTAAAGCACCCAACCCCCTTGCAAGCAACACATTCAAGGGATAGACTTAGCAGACACCGGAGTCCTGCTAAAGTAAGTCCTGCTCCATGGAGTGGGCCCTGCACAGCTGATCCCCCACAGTGGTCACAGCCAGTCCTTGTAGTCAATTGACCTGGGGGTAAATCCCTCCCACTGACATGCCCACAGCAATCAAGGCTCAACTACAACAGGAGAATGTACAGAGCCCACACAATGGAGGCACACCTGGAATGACCAGCTCAGGTGAACAAGAGGCTGTGCTACTGAACCCTACAAGACATCTACTAGATTAAGTAACTTTACCAAGCTTAGGGAACATAGCAGCTCTACCCAATACATTGAAACAAACACAGGACGGCTGCCAAAATGAGGAGACAAAGAAACATGTCCCAAATGAAAAAACAGGATGAAACCCCAGAAAAGAACTAAACAAAATGGAGACAAGCAATCTACTAGATGCAGAGTTCAAAATACTAGTGGTTAGGATGCTCAATGAATTTAGGAGAAGAGAAGATGAACTTAGTGAGAACTTCAACAAAGGTATAAGAAACTTAAAAACTAAAGTAGAGGGCCCTGGCTGGTGTAGCTCAGTGGATTGAGCGTGGGCCTGCGAACCAAACAACCGTGGTTAGATTTCCAGTCAGGGTATATGCCTGGATTGCTAGGCCAGTTCCCAGCAAGGGATGCACGAGAGGCAACCATACACTGATATTTCTCTCCTTCTCTCCTTCTCTTCCCCTCTAGAGATAAATAAATAAATAAATTTTTTTAATCCCTTAAAAATTTTTTAAAAACTGAAGTACAAAACATAAAAAAGAACTACTCAGAAATGAAGGATACAATAACTGAAATAAAAAATAAGTTACAGAGAATCAACAGTGGAAGAGATGAAGCAGAGAATTAAGTCAGAGATTTAGAAGATAAGGAAGCAGAAAACAACCAATCAGAACAGCAAAAAAAAATCCAAAAAAATGAGGATAGTATAAGGAGCCTCTGGGACAACTTCAAACATATCCAGCCCCAACATTCACATCATGAGGGTACCAGAAGGAAAAGAGAGAGAGATCAAGGAACTGAAAACCTATATGAAAAAATATTGATGGAAAATCTCCCTAACCCAGTGAAGGAAATAAACATACAGGTCTAGGAAGTGCAGAGAGTCCTCAACAAGATGAACCCAAACAGGCCCACACCAAGACACATTATAATTAAAATGCCAAAGGTTAAAGAAAAAAAGAGACTCTTAAAAGCAGCTATTTCTCAACAGAAACTCAGAAGGTCAGAAGGGGCTGGCTGGCAAAATATTCAAGGTGATGAAATGCAAGGACCTACAGCCCTGGGTGGTAGCTCAGTTTGTTGCAGCATCATCCCATATATCAAACACCTTGCAGGTTCAATTGCAAGTCAGGATACATTCCTAGGTTGCAAGTTTGATCCTTGGTAGGGG